ATTGTTTGTATAGTAATGTTAGTAGTAATGTTTTTACAGGTTGAAAAAATAATTTCTTCTACTATATCAGAAGGAGTTGATCGGGGGGTGCGGTCAAATAAATACTAAATTTAACAAATAATATTATTTAATTTTTGCCGCCACTTTCCTGGTCTTCATCAGGGCTACGAAAGATACAAAACATGGTGAAAATAAAATAAATGAATATAAGTAGATATAAAATAAGAAGAAGTTGTTCTCTGATACAGAAATAAAAAGATGATATCAGATATAGTGAGTGACAATGTAGTTAAAACATCAAGTATTATATATGTAGAAGATACAAACAAAAAAGGAAAATAATTATGAATAAAAATAGAAAATAAAGGAGAATATAGCATGTAAGTTAAAAGTAAACAGATTGCGATAAAAGATAAGGAATGAGTGTATAATAAACTAATAGAGATTACATTTGATATAGAAAATGAATGTTAACGAATAAATAGATTGAAAATTGAATAAGTATTGATATAGTAAAGCTAAAATAAGAATAAGATAACATAATAATAAGATATCAGTGGATAACAAGCTAGTGGAGGTTATATTTGATTGTAGGTAAACAGATAACGGGACTAAAGGTTAAGAAGTAAAGAAATTGAAAGATTAGGATAACATTAGTGTAATATCGCCCTGATGAAGACCTGAAAAGTGGGTCGAAACGTCGGCAAAAATTAAGTAATACTATTTGTTTAACTGTTTACCTACAATCAAATGTAAACTCCACTAGCTTGTTACCCACTGATATCTTATTATTATGTTATCTTATTCTTATTTTAGCTTTACTATATCAATACTTATTCAATTTTCAATCTTTTTATTTGTTTACATTCATTTTCTATATCAAATGTAATCTCTATTAGTTTATTATACACTCATTCCTTATCTTTTATCGCAATCTGTTTACTTTTAACTTACATGCTATATTCTCCTTTATTTTCTATTTTTATTCATAGTTATCTTCCATTTTTGTTTGTATCTTCTACATATATAATACTTGATTTTTTAACTACATTGTCACCCACTATATCTCTGATATCATCTTTTTATTTCTGTATCAGACAACTCCTTCTTATTTTATTTCTACTTATATTCATTTATTTTATTTTACCATGTTCCGTATCTTTCGTAGATCTGATAAAGACCTGCAAAGTTGGTCGAAAACGTCGGCACAAATTAAATAATACTATTTGTTTAATTTAGTATTTATTTGATCGCACCCCCGATCAACTCCTTCTCATATTATGTCAACGGTCAACCATATCTACATCAATTTCTACTATTCATCATAGAAATTATTAGAGAATGATAAAAGCTAAGAGACCAAGGCATAGATTTTTATGCAGTAAACTCCCACAAAATATGCCATATCACATAAGTGGGAAGCCTTTAAATCATTATATGCCGCAGTAGGATGGATGTAGTGCTAATGGAGATCACAACAATTTTTATATGAACCTTTTAGTTGACGTCATGGCTTACTTCGATTTCAACATTTTTATTATTCACTTCGTCAGGAACTGCAGATAGCCCCACTGAAAGAGCTCCTAGAACATCTTCAGCTAAAGTGGTTCGGCCATGTTATCAGGATGGACGACCACAGAGATCCTCTAAAGACCATATAATATGTTCCAGATGGCAGAAGACCTAGGGGCCGCCATAGGATGTCCTATCTTGACTACCTTGACTCTGTAGGGCGAGGGAGAAGGACCTTCGACAGTCGAGGAACCTAGCTAGAAATAGGGAAGAATGGAATTCCTGGCTGAATGCTCCTCTATGCTAAGAGGCACTAAAGAGAGAAACTAGAAAAGAAGAAGATTATCAATTTTAGTGATATTTCTAGTCGAAATATTTATACCTTTATTCATATTTATATATTTCAACACTGCAATAACCTATTCTGGAATCAACGTTATCACTGCCTGTATGGATATAAATTTTACACCGAGAAATATCACTTTACTCAAAAATGTTGAAATTGAAGTTATCCATTCTGCGAACAAGACTTATATTTTACAGTTCTATTTTTATTTACCACTAAATACACACTTCCATATCCATATATTCAACTTATTCTATTAACTTTCAAATGTTTGTTACGTAAACAATTAAATAATTCTTAATTCTGGGGCTTGATTAATAAATATCGCGCCAAAACGTTTGGTGGTAATTAGCTCACGGAGGCCACATGCAGGCCAAATAATATGCAATAAAAATCTGGTGCTTGGAACACACAACTTTTACTTACAGCTCTACTTTGAATAGAAATTATTTTCTGACAATGTTGGCCTTTATAAAATTTTTAAAGTGAATTTTTAACGGAGCTAAAGCTTAAAGCTTGCTGCTAATAAATCATTAATGCCATCAAAACAACAAAAATCCTATTTATTATATCAACGGTTGATAATGGATTGTACGATCCCTTGATTATGAATTGTACGACTAGTTATTAAATTGTTATTTTCAATTGGGATACGTATTCCGATAATTTATACCATACGTCATTAAGCAGAATGACAGTAGAAAGTTGGTAAAGTTCCATGAAAAAATTATGTACCACCAACTAACAGAATATTACTATAAATCTTACCCCATGTCGTAAATAATAAATTTGGTTCAGGATTTTTTATCAAACGTTTTTTGGCAAATAAAAATTTTGGATAACTTAAAATTAAACGTTTAACTCTTAGTCCGTTATTGATATCCAGTCTTCAATTGTCTATCCTCGGCTATTTTCGGCATTCATCGATAACCTGGTTATAGCTTGAACTAAGTAGCTTGAATAGATTTAATTGAACTATTGGGTCGTTTCATATGAAATTTTAGTTTTCACAGAAAAGGTTATCTAGTAAAACAACTTTATGAAATTAAAACATTTTAATTCAAAGTATTATCCTCATTATATATACATTTTACCCAACGTGTTATCAACTTTTCAATTCCAGAACTGCAGAAAAATTCAGGTTTTTCTGAAGAAATAGTTTTTTTTTTTTTTCCTAAGCCTAAGTAACGCCTGCTTCATTAGCCATGCGTGGTCTTGCAGTCCAATACAGTTTTGCTCTCCGAGCATAATAGCTGTCCATTTCATTAAAGGAACATCTTATGTCCTGTAATGCAGGGCACGTATCAAGATGTTCTCCTGTCATCATATCCAAGGAACACAGAGGGCATGTCTTGCTATCTTTTACACCGATGCGGTGGAGGTGCTTCTGAAGGAAATCATGGCCTGTCAGCATTCCAAAGCATGCCACGGCTTGGCCTCCAGGGAGGTCTCTAGGAATCCTGCCACTTTCTTCCATCAATCCACTCCATCGCTTCCCTTCAATTGTTCGCACATATTTCTCTTTCAGTGAACTTTGGAGGGTCTGTTCTATGATTCTTTTTGTTGAATGCCCAGAGGAATATCTGGTTGGATCATTCCAGAACCTATTCTGGCCAGTTTGTCAGCTTCATCATTTCCGTGGAGCCCGCAATGGCCTAGTATCCACTGGAAAGCGACTTCTGTCCCATTTTCCTTTAATCGGTTCAAATATAGATGGCATTTAGGAACATTTGGATTTATTTTATATACATTTTGGAGAGACGAAATGGCTGTCTGTGAGTCAACAAAGAAAGCAACTTTCTTGTCTTTCTGTTCAATTAATCTCTCAAGGTCTAAGAGAATGGCTTTCACTTCTCCTTCAAAGTTTGAAATCGTCATAAAAGGCGTTTTTCACCTGAGAATCGTTTTAAAAAATTTTAAGTTTAAGGAAGTTATCCAAATTTCTGAACAGATGAAAATCTGTTGAAGATAAGTCTGGCGAATAAGATGGATGTGGACGGACTTCATAACACATCTCGTGAAACATGAGGTCTGGCGCTGTCGTGTAATAGTATAAGCACTTTCTGATTAACCAATTCAGGTTTGATGTGATGGTTTCTTCTCTGGACAAAAAATGGAAATGAGTTATTCCTGCCATTGACCTTGGACACAGAAACCAATAATGTTTTCGGATGCGAATTTTGTTTCAAATATTTTTTACGTTACTCTTCTCCAAATCTCGTGGTTATATTTGTTGCAGCTTGGGCTGTCGATTATCCAAGTTTAACTCATAAAAAAGTTACTTGAAAATTCCTTGTTTCCATGACCATATTTGATAGCATACTGAACAATGTGCAATGATTTGGAATAATAATACATACCAACAGAAAAGTTAGGGTTGATTACAACTCAATGATTTTACAATGGTTTATTATCTCCAAACAATTATACATCTACAGTAACATTACCTTCCGAGTTACAAAGAAAAAAATGTGATTCCAATTATTAGACTAAACTGTTTTTTTTTATCATTATTAATATGCTAAAAATAATAGCATTATTTCAGTAACACATTTAAAATTTAAAAACCAAACCAAGGATATAACATTTGGAGTAGAACACATAAAAACAAACCAGAGACCATATCTTTGCTCCTAATTGTCCGATTTTAACGATTTTTTTTTTTGTTTTTTAGGAAATTTCATAAAATTTTAATTCATCCTCGGGTTACCTCTGATTTTATATCAAAATTTGAAAAAAAAAAATAGTAGTTTCGGAGAAAATGCGCGGGCGGTGGACGGACAAAAAAATTTTTATTCGTTTTTCGAATTCTACGCATCTTGAAACGTGAAACCTCAAATTTTGAGAGGGGGTTGTGTTTTTGAATTTTTTGATCGATCACAATGTTTCATTATCGAAAATAATAAACCAAAATCCACTAATCCAACTTTGAATTTCTGAAGTAATAAAAAAGGGACATTTCATTGAAATGACTTAATGGTACCGAAAAAAAAGGTAATAAAAACTGTATGATCTGAAACGATTTTCCTTTGAAAGGAAAAATAATTCCCTGGAATATGTTTAGCCTTGTCACAACATTAGTTGCCCATTAATTTTAATAAGTATCGATTCTGACATGCCATTTTTACCAGAATCGTTCAGGATGTCGACAGGAGAGGTCGCCAAGTTCATCAACAATATCTTATTTTGGCCAAAGACTCTATCAGTTGTCCCTTCGGGAAAAATGCTAAGAACAAATAATAAATTCTACATTTTTTCCATTTTTCATCAATTAATGATAACTTTGATAGCCATTAGCGCTTTTAGGTATTTTACATACATTGTAACACCGATAGACATTTTTAGAGTAATTTTGCCTGTGTACATTATTTTCACTTGTATTATTTTAAATGCAATAAAAGTTTCCCTTCAGATCTATGCGAATCAGTACAAAGATATATTTTCAAGTCTTTCAGAAATTAACTTAAGATTGAAACGTATCAATCCATTTTCTCCACCGCTTTATGACACCTTGGAAACTAAAGCATTCGAATTCTTCTGGGTGTTTTCATTTCTTTATGCATCTATGCTCGGTTCAGTTTCATTCTTTTTCGGTGACCACCATATTTGGCGTTTGTCTTCATTCGTACACAATACTAACATAAATATGGCACATTTCGTTCTCACGATCATCGAATGTTTTGTGACCGTAATTAACATTCAATTGGATTATATTAAAAAAAACATATACACAAAGCAAAAAATATTCGCTTTGGAACAATGCGTATCAACATATTTGAAGATCTATAATACGTGCCTCAAAATAGAGAAAATATTCAGTCCGCATCTTTTATTAATTATGTCATTATATTTTGCAATGATAATAATGCATTTGCATTTTTTAATTATGAAGTTTTCAGACAAACACTTTCATACGAGACCTTTGTACCATGAGTACAACGTCGCCATTACAGTATTGTGCGCAGTTGATATTTTGCAATGTGCTAGGTGCTTTCAAATGCTGCATTCAAATGTAAGTAGATTTACTTTCATTAAATTAGAATAATAAATATTCAAGGTGATTGTAAGTTATTTCTGGGTTATATATTGCCATAGGATTTAACATAGTCTTTAGAAATCACGAAAAATCTCAAATTAAGGGTGTACAATCTTGTACAGACTTCGGAAGGACGAAGGGGATGGAGGAAGGCAATCGCCACCTCAATAAAAATGTTGAGGCAGCGAATAAAAAAATTTAAATTGATAACAAATAAACTAAAATCGATTAAGACACTATGAAAATTCGACTAGTTGGCTAAAATAAGACCTATAAATAGGTACTGAACTATTTTAGCACGACTTAAATATTCCTATTATTTATATTATCAGAAGTAATAATATTATTTTGTGCAAAGCTATTGTACACTATTGTCGTAGGCTATACGGGATTTCCTCGGGCCGGAGGGTGAGGGCGGGGAATTTAAAATCCCCTCCGGCACCGGGACGCGAACTCTTACTTTTTATATTATCTCAAATCTCTGTTATCCGGTTGCCGGGCAACTCGCGGTGCTGTGCACACGCTTTAGCCCATTCGGCCACCCCGCCCCTATCAGATAAAATCTGAAAGATAAAATTTAATCCATGCCAAATTTTACCAGTCCAGCATTTAGCAGGCTGGAGGGCCCCCTCAATTAAGTAAAAGATGTTTATGCCAGCATAAGAGGGTGCGTCAATTTCCACGATTCATCAAAATACAGTCCACTGCATAAATAAGTCGAATGTTGCCTATTTTGATCTCATTAGAGTTGTTTGCATTAATTAAATTAAAAATGGAAGAGCTAAGACCAACTTTCATGTTTTTTTTTTAAGGTGGTCACGTTTTTTATTGAATACGAAGGTATTGCTCAAAAATTGTTCAAGACAATTAAATTCTAAGTACACCATCGTAAAATAGACGAAATATTCCTTGAGAAAAAAGTGATTAAATTTACTAAGGTAGATCATAAAAGGCATTCTCAGGCTGTGCCGGCCTTAGACATGCGCCCCCTCTCTCCCTCCAAGTCAATGATTGTTTTCTCAAAGAATGCTTTGTCTACTTTACGGTTGTGTACTTAGAATATAATTATGAAATGAAATGAAAAAATAATTTTATTCTGGGACTACTGTCCCCTAAGAATAATAACAGAGTTACAAATTTATGTATCTTAGTCTGACATAATAAAAATACCAACTAATTTACTGTTAATTGTTATTTCAATTGTGCAATAGATTCAAATTAAACATTGTACAGATGCAAGTAATTTTACATGTTTGGAGAAGTTTGAATGTGGAGTAGGTGTTGGAACAGGAGTTGTTTGAAGGAATTTCTGGACGAGGATTGACACATGGAGGTAGGAAGAGAGTTCCATAAGGAAGCAGCACGAATGATGAAGGATTTGCTGAAGGAGGAGGTCTTATAGGAGGGAATATATAAGTCTATAGGTTGAGACCTAGTATTGAGAGAGTGGATAGAGGAGCGCAGAGTAAGGAGTTCTAGGATGTAGGGAGGGTTTTTGGTTCTGAAGACTTGGAAAAGGAAAACACCTAGGAGGAATTGTCGTCGGGAAGTAGGATAAAGCCACTTCAACTCGGTGTACCAGAGTGAAACATGTGAACGCCTGGGGATCCCGAAAATCTTATGAAACTATTCATGAGTCTCTTTAGTCTCATTTCCAGCCTGGCAGATAGCCCTCCATACACCAAACAGCCGTAGTCGAAGTGGGGGAATACAAGGGAGGTTACAAGGAGCTGTCTGGTTTTTAGAGGAATACAATCAAAGGAATATTAGGAGTTGTTTAAGGGCAGTTATGGATTTTCGGGTAATCTGGGAGATATGGTTATCCCAGGAGAGGTTCTGGTCAAAGGTTACTCCTAGGTTTTATTATCTTGTACAATTTTTGAGCAATTCCTTCTTGTTCAATGAAAAACGTGATCACCTTAAGGAATGCACAAAATTGGTCTTAACTACTTTTCCGTTCGGAATTCGCCCATGCATCAAATTAACTTTTTTGTTGGAAATTTTGTTTAGAATCGCCCCTCTCCTCTCCTCCTCCCCTCCCCCAGAGTTTAGTCATTAAGAACTGAGATACCGTGTTTAGTGGTTTAGTATTAGTATGAATTTATGGAAATGGTTATATTGACTCAATATATTGAGCAGGTAGATGCTGGCTGGTGTCTTGAGTTTGAGGTACTCTTGAGTCTCTCATCGAGGGTCTGTTGATTATTTTTGGTTCCGAGAACAAATTTCTTTTTGTAAGATCTCGCAAGATCACAAAGCTTTCTTACCTTCTTTTGTGATAAAAAAAATATATATAAAAAGAAATTAAGGTAGGAAGTGTTTTAGATTTGATATGAAGAATTTTTACCGTTTTGTGTATTACACTATCTAAAGAATATAGTACTTCAACATAATTTTATTAACTTACAAATAAAATCTAAACCAGTGTCTCTTGTCTAATATTTTAAAATATATTTCAGTCGGAGGAGTTGAACATCGCACTCTACGAGGTCTTGATGAAACGTGAAGGCAAAGAATTGCTCAAATGTGTGAGTGAAAATAATCGAATAGCATTCGTAAAGCCGCTTTTACCGGGTGTATTGGAGCATTTATCTCAATACACTCTGGTTAAAAGCGGTTAAATTCCATTCCATGTTTATTTCTTATTGGACGTAAAGGTTAAGATGTTCTCGAAGTTGAATGGTTTTTTGTTTTAATATTTTTTTTTTTAATTCTTTAGGTAACACAATTTCTTATTTATCGTAGTTTAAAAAAAATAAATGATGTAAACTTCGATTTTAGTTTACTTATTCTTTTTACTATATACTATTTTCATTTTCAATATATATATATATATATATATATATATATATATATATATATATATATATATATATATATATATATATATATATATAATGAAAATGAATGAAAAAGAGGAGTGAAACACAAATTCCTAGCATATGCGGATGATATATCTGTCCTCGGAAGTAATCAAGAGGATATTGAGAGACTCGCTCGCACTCATAAAAGAAACAGAGCAAATTATATTACAGGTCAATGAAGATACAGCAAAATATATGGTAGTTGGCCGAAACATCCACCCTAATAACATGATCTGCGTGAACTCTAAGTCATTGCCTTAAAGAAAGTAGACAGATTCAAATACCTCGGCTCCACAATAACCTCAATAAATGATCGACTAACAGAGATAGACCAGCGAATAACAAGTGCGAACAGATCTTTCTTCTCTCTTTCAAGGGTACTGAAATCCAGAAAAATCTCTAGAAATCTAAAAATAAGGGTACAATGGCTGTGAAATCTAGGCTCTTACCGGCACGCTAGAAGTCAGAATTGAGAGATTTGAAAGAAAAGTTCTCCGCAACATAACAGGACCTATATGGGACCAGAACCTTGACACATGGAGGAGAAGGAACAATAAAGAACTGCTGAAAGAAATGGGTCAGTCAATATCTCATGACATGAAGGCAAGGAGGTTAAAATGGGCGGGGCATATAGCTCGTAGCAATCCATTAGGACGCAATTACACAACAATGAGTGCCAGGATAGTAGGCAAGAGACCACGTGGGAGGCCAAAAACCAGATGGATAGATAGGATGAACAAAGATACGGCTGAGCTCCATACCGCAAACTGGAAAGCAGTAGCCCAAGATAGGCAGAGGTGGAGAAGGCTGGCTCAAGCGGCCAAAGATCTACAAGGTCTGTCGAGCCAACCGAAAAAAAAGGTATATATATATATATATATATATATAATATATATATATATATATATATATATATATATATTTATACTATTTTGTTATTTTTGTTACAAATATTCTTTCTTATTGAACTGGGTTCCACAGATCATTTTTAGAGCTTTTCAATTTTCATTAATTCCAGAACTGTATTTTTTTTTTTAAATTATTAATATTAGATTTTCAAGACTATATAATTTTTCGATATTATTTTGAGGAACACTCCAAATATCTTCTCTATTTTTTTATTTATTTTTTTTATTATTGTCTCTTTGTATTGTAATAGAAATAGGAAAATAACTATATTCCAGGACGAAGTCCTTTGATAAAAACAAAATCGTGCAATAAAAAAAGATTACTTCTGGGCTAATGGTTCGATACAATAAATAAAATAAATTATTTACGTTAAACTTTTACAAGCCCATTTGGTTCACCGGGATGAAATCATCTCAATTATATTACACGGATACAGTTTACGCAAAAATCGGATACAATTCTAATTCGATTTTATTAACAATATTAATTATTTATTATTAGGAAAGTATTGATAGTTGTATTATTATAAATCATAATTTTTTTTCGTTGTTCAGAGAAAACTGTTGGCCAGTATCTACGCCAACAGAAAGATAAGTGTGTCAGCTTTAGAATTTTTCAATGTTGACTACACGATGGTACAGTCAGTAAGTATATATATTATTATATACTAGTCATCGAAACTTTTAAGGGATAAGATGTTTCGCTCTTACTTATTAACATATGATTGTTTTCAGATGATTTCTTCTTGTACGACATTCGTCGTCATAATGTCACAGTTCGAAACTTCAATCTAAACACAGATCGTATTATCAATACTGCACGGATTAGAGAGATACTTAACCTTGAGCCAGTATGTAATGGTGTTTTCATTATTTAAAAAATCGCAAATAATTTATGATTTTTCTAAAAACAGAACTTAGCTTAATTTAGCCGCTTAAAAGTCATCTTTAAATGGTCTTAACAATGATGAACTCTATTTTTATTCAAAGTAAATTTTATCTAGTGTAGAGTGAAATAATTTTAAATTATTGAAGGAAGTTAGTCGACTGTTCTACATATCATGGGTGATAAATATTCAGGACGCAGTCATTATAAAGTTTTTATTAGTGCCGACGTTCCAACCCAAACATGTGGGTCATCTTCAGGGCTGAAAATTAAAATACAATCAGAGACATAATAGTATACGACCGCTAATTATAAATAATAAACTATAGTGATTGATGGTACATGAATCTCAACTAATATTGCAATACACATATTAAAATTAAATATGTAAACAGTTATACAAACTAAATATAAAAAAAAAAGAAAATGTATATAATTTATTATATATATTTAATGAACAGCTGCGTAAGATTTGTGATCGAGGTCCAAAGATACTCCAATGTCTCTCACCACAACTCAGGTACAGTTGGTTTAGCGCAGGCAAGGTGAAATGTCGACGAGACGATGGACAGCAGGTCGTCGTCATCAACTCACCATCAGATTTAGAAACGTTTGCTTGACATGCATATACATGTTACATCACTTTGAACAATTTTGTTTTTACTTTTTTATATCCCCAGTTTTATGTTTTTGTTGCGTTTGTTTTAATAATAGACTATGATAATAATTTCATTTTTGTTTATGAGAATATTTTAGGTCTGATCTGTCCAGAAACTCTAATTTGTGTATTTTTTTTCTTTTGCACAATAGGAATATGCTTTTCGTTAACTAAATTTTATATTTTTTGTTTACCATCCTTATTAATATCTAGGAGATCTTGCACACAATTGGCTCTAGCTGCTGTAGAAATATTCCTATCCTTAACTCCTTCTGTCCGTTTACCAAGCCACCCCTCCTTCTTCCATGACTAATATCCTTCTAACCTGCCACGTCAACGCTCAGTCACTCTTAGCCCATTTTGATGAATTTTACGACTTTTTTCTCCATAACTTCTACCATTTAATTGCCGTATCCGAAACCTGGTTGAAACCCACAATCCCGTCCTCCCAGATCCTTCTACCTAACTATACTCTCCTTCGTCATGACAGAGTAGATCGCACGGGTGGTGGAGTAGGTCTCTTTGTCCATGACAGTCTCAAATCCAAAATCCTTCACTGCTCTTCCATAACCGATTCTCCGCACGTTGAATACCTTTTCGCCGAAATCCTCACCACCTCATCTGCCATTCTGTTTGCTGTCATATATCGCCCTCCTAGAATTCCTTTCGATGAATCACTTGAGACTTTATTGTACAACTTAATCCCTTCCTACTCAAACATCATCCTCTCCGGTGACTTTAACACCAATTTACTGGCACCATCCTCTGATTATTCCTACCTAACAAACCTCTTTAATTCTCTCAGCCTTTACATAGTACCCTACAATCCAACCCATCATACTCAGTATTCAGAGTCCTGGCTCGATCTAATTATCCTGGATTCCTCAGACAAACTCCTTGCCGCATCTCAGCACCCGGTTCCGTTTCTATCTTCCCACGATCTTGTCCAGATCTCTTACAATGTCCCTGTTCCATCCTTTTCTCCCCGAACAATATCCTTCCGAAACCTAGATTATCTCACTCACGAAACATTGTCAGAAGGTCTTGACGATATCCAGTGGGATCCCATCTACTCCTCAAAATCCATAGACACCATGGTAGAAATCCTAACCACTCAACTTCACTCTATCCTCGACCGACATGCTCCTCTTATCACAAAAACCATCCGATATCCTCCAGCTCCTTGGCTTACCCCTGCTTTGAGGGAGTGTATGAGAGAAAGAGATGCTGCAAGGCGACGGTTTAAACGAACTCGACTTCCTGATGATTTTCTCTCCTACAAACAGCTTCGAAATAGCACTCAATCAGCAGTACGCCGTGCTAAATCCCGTGACTTCCATCATTCCCTATCCAACTCTCCCAATACCAAGGCTACGTGGGCTATTCTTAGAAAACTGACCATTGGTAATACCCCCCAGTCTCAGTCCAATTCCGTTTCTGCTGATAACCTCAACGCTCACTTTGTCTCCTGTCCTCTTGCATCCACATCTCCCACGTCCAGTCTGGCTCCTATGTTCTCTTCCTTTAATCCTGATCACTTCTTTCTTTCCCATATTACACCAGATGAGCTCCTTAAATCCATTCAGAAGTCCCATACCAATGATTACGGTCCCGACAACATCCCAGTCAGACTGATTAAAGCCGCATTGCCATCCATTCTTCCGATCCTTTATCATATATACAATTATTCTCTTCAAAATGCTACCTTCCCTACATCCTGGAAAACCGCCCTAGTACGCCCATTGAAGAAGACTTCAAACCCATCAGTTCCTAATGATTTCCGACCGATTTCCCTCCTTTCAAACCTCTCAAAACCATTGGAGCGGTTAGTCCAATCCCAGCTATCCCATTTTTTAGAGGACAATAATCTCCTAAATCCCTACCAGTCTGGATTCAGGCCTGGTTATTCTACTCAGTCTGCCCTAATCAAAATTTCCCAAGACCTTCACACAGCCATAGATCAGCAGAAACTAACCATCCTTATTCTCCTAGACTTCTCCAAAGCTTTTGATTCAGTAGACCACAACATCCTCCTAACCAAACTTAAAAATATCTCTTTTTCTTCTAGTTCCCTTAATTGGTTCCAATCCTTCCTAACCGGTCGCTCCCAGTACGTTGTAATTCCTAATAACCCACCATCAGAATCTCTACCTCTGACCAGAGGCGTCCCACAAGGCTCTTCCTTATCCCCCACCCTTTTCTCCATCTATATAAATGACCTCCCATCCTCTATCCTGCACTGTCATTACCACCTGTATGCCGACGACATTCAAATTTACCTCTCCTTTAATCCGACAGATATCTCAGATGCCACTCAAAAACTTCAGGAAGATATTGACAGAATAAGTGCTTGGGCAAACCTCAATAGGCTCACTCTGAACGCCGAGAAGACAAAAGCCATCTTGATCGGATCCCCTTCACTCCTCAAATCCTCCCCAGTATCTCCCAATCTCTTCCTGAACAACTCACCTATCTTATTCTACACCACCGTTAAAAACCTAGGTGTTACTTTCGATCAATCCCTATCCTGGAAACCTCACATCTCCCAAATTTCCCGTCGCACTATCTCCACCCTAAAACAGTTCAATCGTCTACGATATCTCCTTCCATATAAGTCCCGTCAACTCCTAGTTTCCTCCCTTGTTTTCCCCCACTTCGACTACGGCTGTATGGTGTACGGTGGACTCCCGGGAGATTCCGAGGCCAAACTTAAACGCCTAATGAATTGCGCACTACGATTTGTTTTCGGAATCTCAAGGGATACGCATATTACCCAGTATTACACTGAGTTGAGGTGGCTCTACCCATCCTATCGCCGTCAGTACTTCCTAGCCACCTTTCTGTACCAAATTATTAGAACCCATCGACCCTCCTACATTTTTCACAGCTTACAATTCAAATATTCCATCCAATCCCGTCCCACCAGATCTCGTACTTCCGACCTCTATCCTCCTCCTCACCGAACTGCTGCGTTTGACAAATCCTTTGCAATACAAGCCGCCTCCCTCTGGAATTCCATCCCACCTGATATTCGACACGCTCAATCAGTTTCCTCGTTTAAACCACTCCTCTTTAAGCACCTACTCCTTTCTCAATCCGAATGATTGTGAAATATATCTTAGAGAAATATCTGAGCACCACCAGAGACTACCTCAATTTATTAAGGTTATTTTAGTTTCTCATACATATGTACAGTTTACTTGTTCTTTTTTTTCTCTTTTCTGTATTTTTATCGTAAGTCAACTTTCATTGTAAATATACAATTCCATTGTAGCCACACAGGAATATAATCTGTATTCATATTTTGTTCTTAAGGGACAACAGTCCCAGAATAATAAAACATTTTTTTCATTTCATTTCATTTTCACAACGCTGAGTTAAAGTGGCATTTCCCCTCCTTCCGAAGACAATATTTCCTAGGTACGTTCCTCTGCCAAATCATCAACAACCATCCACCTTACGCCTACAAGCTTCTCCAGTTTAAATCCTCAGTCCATTCCCTGTCCACAAGATCTCGACCTTCTAACCTTTATATGCCTTCTCACAGATCTGCTTCATTCCAAAATTCCTTTATTGTTCGCTCTGTCAATTTCTGGAATTCCCTCCCTATCAAAATTCGACATTCCCCATCCATATCCACATTCAAAACCCTTCTATTCCAATTCCTATCCCAAAAACAGTCAGTTAGTTGCTAACCATTCGAGCTGATTTTAATAGAGAATTTGATATATTTTTATTTTTTAATTCTTTATTATTTTCTTAAGAGTGTATACTGGTCTATCAGTGCAAATAGCTTTAAGTGTCTTGTCATAGTATTAATTGTTTTGTATATAGTTTCGTTTGTTTTGTATATAGAATGTTTACCTTATATTTTCTTTACATTATTTCTTTTTTTCAATTGATTTTATTTTGGCCAGATGTAATCTTTTTATTTTGTTATTCTCAAGGGACTGTGTCCCAGAATAAAATTATTTTTCTATTCTATTCTATTCTATAATCCATTTATACAAATATGTAATATTTTCTCTTACTAACCGTGGTTTGAGCACTGAGGGTGTTCAAGTATTGACACATTTGGTAGGTAAGTGAAAAGGGGGAGGGGAAGGATTTCCCAGTTGTCCTTTTTCAGATAGCAAAAGGTAGGTAAACATAGTTAGAGAGGAAGGGTGATAACATTTATGTTTTTAGAAAGTACACAATTTGCTGACTAAATATTTCAGACGTGTACAATATTTGAGTTGTTTCATACGG